CTGCAGATGGGTTCACATATGAGTATGAGGCAATAAAGGAGTGGTTGAGTAGTGGGCATGATACATCACCCATGACCAACCTCAGGCTCAAAAACAAACTCATCACACCAAATCACACTCTCCAATGTCTCATCAGGGATCGTTGGAGAGACGAACGCTAGCTGCAGACAACCCCTCATGCATATTTTCACTAAGCTCAAGAGGAAAAGAGAAAGGAATTTTCGCGTCTGTCTGCAATATTATTGTTGATTTTTGGTGTAAAGTGTTTCATCTAGCTAGTAATATTGTCAACAGAACAATGTGGAGCTGATACACAAATTTTTGTGGCAAACCTTTTGATTTTCTTGGCGTTAATGATTCTATAATCATTTATATGAGTACAGCGACATTGTAACACTAAGTTCTGTAAATCATTTATCTTGCATTTTCGTACTTACAAGGAAATTTTAGAAAAAATAAAGTATTGTCAAATACGATAATGTAGTAAGTGCCTTGCAAAAAGGGGGTGTAGCTCATATGGTAGAGCGCTCGCTTCGCATGCGAGAGGCACGGGGTTCGATTCCCCGCACCTCCATCATTTTATATTATTTTATTGTTATTTTTTAACTTTAAAAATTCCCCCAGAAAGGACGAATTTTCATTTTAGACCCTTTTAGGAATTTATTTCCAAAAAACAAACTTTTTTAGATTTATTTGCAAATTTCAACCTAGTTTCGGTCACTTGGCTGAAATTGGGTGGAATTTTGCGAATAAAGTTGAAAAAATTCTTAGGATTTAGAATCTCGTGAAGTTTAGTTCTTAATTAAACTTCACGACAGTCTAATTAGGGCCCGTTTGGCAAATGAAAGTGTTGGAAGTAAGAAGTATGTTATAAAAGTAACTTTCAAAAATATGAAGTAGGAAGTAGTGAAAATAACATTTTTTTTAAATTCATATATTTTTAGAAGTAATGGAAGTAGAACTTCTTCCTCTTCATTTATTATTATTATTTTGTTTGGATAACATTTGGAAATATTACTAGGAAGTAATTAACATATGTTGCTTCCACAATTTTAACATCACGCCACACTCTTTAATTTGATCAAGCACGTTACAACCAGTTTCATGCCTCTATGACCACTCGCCACTTGAGAGCAAGAAGAATCCTTTAACCACATAGCTTCAAAATAATTGTTTATCTCTCACCTACGATGAGACTCTAGATGGCTATAAATTCTTATGAATCTCCAATTTCCCCTTCTCCCTCGCTCATTTGATCGTAACATCAACGTGATATTTAGATAAAAAATTAATAGACAAACTGTTTTCTTCATCCGAAAAAAATTAAGAGCAATTTTATCAATGAAAAGTTGTTAGAAGTAACTAATAAAGAAAATATTAATAATTTTTTTTATATATTTTCTAATTAATATGCATTTCAACTACTTCCGAGCTACTTCTGAGTATTAAGGATTGAAAAAATATTTTGGAAGTAAGGATGACACATAGACGCCACTTATCATATAAGTGTTTAAGAAAGTATTTGAAGTAAGTTTTTCAGAAAACAAACATTTTTTGCTTGGAAGTAGCAGAAGTAGCATCTATTTTTTTTACTTCAACTACTTCATAATTACTTCCGTACAAACAAATAGACCGGGATTTTAAATCCTAGGGAATTCAATATAACATGGTCACCATAGTTGGCCAAATGGTTAGCTCAAAGAAAGCTAAATTTTCAATCATTTAAGTGGTTTTGAGTTCGAATTTCATTCCAACATATCTTTTTCCTTGAACATTTAAAAAATTTTACAAGGTTAGGATTTGAACCATATGTTTCCCATCCAAATTTTATAAGCTAATGTTATAACCACTAAACCCATTGCACCTAACTACTTATTTTATGAATTTTTTTTAATATAAACTTCACGGGATTTAAAATTCATTATAGTTTAGTAGCAATTTACCGTTCGAGACAAGCTTTTTGGTTAGCGCTAATTAATTAAGGACATAACTTCACGGGATTTTAAATCCGATGAAGTTTTTAACTTTATTCGCAAATTTCGACCCCTGGCTAAAACTGAATAGAAATTTGCAAATAAATCTAAAAGGGATCGATTTTTGTAAATAACTTCCTAAAAGGGTCTAAAACGAAAATTTGTCCCCCCAAGAAACTCAAATTTTTGTCACATCGGGAACAGCGAAAAAAAATTAATTTTTGCTCACGCTATTCGTACCCTTTTGCTCCTTCTCCTTTGTCTGACACGCCCAACAAATAAATTACCATTTTTAGAAAATAATTAATGAGATAAATTACAATTATTCACCTTATTTTAATGTTGTACCCCTTTCCCCCCTTTTCTCAGCCTTCCCCTTTCTCTCTCTCTCTCTCTCTTTCTCTCTCTTCACTCTTCAGAGCTCTCTCTTTTCTCCTCCAGAGACCCATTTGGCAGCAAACCCGACCAACAATGGAAGAACCCAACTTTTCAGGTAAAACTCCATCTGGGTTTTCGCTTTTTTTAACAATGCTGTCGATTTTGCCCCTTTTTGCCCTCACCCATTTGGAGTTTTCATGTTTGGTTACAGAAAAATGTGATGTGTGTAAGTTTGATTGGTTCTGTGGTACTGCATTGCTTGATTCTCGTCTTATGGGTGAAGGGCAATTTCTGTAATTTTTGGTGCTTTGGTTGGATTAGTAGTGTTTGTTTGTTAACTGTTGAATCATGTTAAGTAAAACCTTCAATGTGATTATAATATGCAACTGGGTTTTAGTGGAACTCATGAAAAATCTAAGAAGAGCTTATATGGAAATCCATCACCCTTTCTTGCCCTTTAACCAATTCAAATTTTCATGTACAGTGTATAGAAAAATGCGATATTTTTGCATTTGATAGATCCTGTCATACATCATTGCAGGTTCATCTTGTGGGTGAAGGGTTTTGTTATCCTACTAGAGTAGTGCCTGTAAATTTTAGTGGTCTGGTGTGATTATTAGTGGTTGTTGTTGAACTGCTGAAATAGTAGATTATTAACCCTTCAATACGATGACTATATGCGACTGTTTTGATGGAGCTGATGAATAATGTAGCTTCTAATTGAACTCAATGACCCGTTTTTAGTCTTACCCGTTTTGGGTTTTCATGTATTTTTGTAGAAAAATGCGATGTTTTTATGTGTTTGGTTGATTTGGTTGTATTGCTTGCTTGTTTCTCATCTTTTCGGTGAAGGGATTTTGTACTCTTACTGTGGACATGCATGTATTTTTACTTCTTCGGTTGGGTTAGTAGTGGGTGTATTTAAGTTGAATTATGCTCATAACCCTTCAATAAGAATACACTACTGGCTTTTAATGGGGCTCGTGACTAATATAGGGAGAGCTCCTAACCAGATTCCATCACCCTTTTTTTTTGCGCTTGCCCATTTGGAGTTGTCATATGTCAGTATCATTGCAGAATAATGTGTTAATTTTATTTGTATGGTTGATTATGTTGTATTGTTGCTTCGTTTCTGTTGAATTTGGAAAAGCTGATTTGATCCCAGAGAGGGATAGTCAGAATTTATTTACACTAAGGCGTAGAATACAATTACATAGATTAACAATGTTGGGCCAAACTAATACTACTTTAAGTGCATGTTATAACAGTCACTTCTCCATTTGAGGCATTTTATCTTGTTTTCTGTTTTCCTTTTTAGTAATCGTTACATTTACTTCTCCACTCCTTACCTAAAACATCTCTGAAAATTGTGCATAATGGTACCATCAAATAGGTAATTTTCTTTGTCAAACACTTGAAATGTGAATTTTATGATGAGAAATTTACTTTTTCGTATTCTTTATATAATCAAAAAAAAGTTGGAACTCATCTTTATGCTTTGTCAGGTTTTGTAATAGATCCTGCCAAATGTAGTGAGTTGAGTTTGGAGGAGAAGAGAGATCTAGTGCATGAGATTTCACAATGGGCAGACAATGCACCTGAAATCCTTCAGTCCTTTAGTCGTCGAGAACTTCTTCAACTTATCAATGCAGAATTGGGAAAGGAAAGGAAATATACCGGAGTTACAAAGCCTAAAATGATTAGCCATCTCCTTAAGCTAGTTTCAGAGAAGAATGGGAAGAAGACTGATGATAAAGCAGGGCCTTCATCTAAAAAGAAAAGGAAGAAAGAAATTCTTCTGCAGTTTGCTAATGATGCAGCTCCTGATCACTCTCAAAATAGAGAAATAGAACAAATCGGTACTCCACTTTGTCAGAATCTTGCTTGCAGAGCTACTTTAGCTAATGGAGATAAGTATTGCAAGCGGTGCTCTTGCTGCATTTGCTATCAGTATGATGACAATAAGGACCCAAGTTTATGGTTGGTTTGTAGCTCTGATCCACCATATTCTGGCGATTCTTGTGGCATGTCCTGCCACTTGAAATGTGCTCTTAAAAGTGAGAAGGCTGGGATTACTGAGAGTGGATGCTACACGAAGTTGGATGGAAGTTTCTATTGTGTTTGCTGTGGGAAGGTGAACTGGCTGATTGGGTAATTATGAACTAACCTATTCTGTGTAGAACTGTAGATTTATGTCGATTTGTTTAATTTGATAACATTTATGTAAAGACCCAGTTGCATTTCTGTGCCTTCCAATTTTGTATTGATCTCATGTCTTATATTCAGCAATACTAAGGGAAATAGGCGGAAAGTAAAATTAGTTAAACGTAAAATACAACTGGGAAAGCCTAGCTTTATTAAGTATTACTAATCCTTGTTTGTCCCGCATGTTTCTTTCTTTCCTTTTCACTGTTATGTATGGCTCTATTAAATAGCCGATAATGCAATAAAGTCCCATGATGATTTTTAATTTAGTTCAAATTTCAACCTCCCACTTCGAGTTTGTTTTATAGTGCAATTATTGCTCATTCAGTGATGAACTAATCATATGACTAGCTTCTAAGAGAGATTTTTATTCTACAGGATGTTGCAGGAATTTGAATTTGAAACCTTTTCATTTTTTGCGATTCATTATAATAATTGTACGATTAACAGCTTATAGTTTCATTATGGAATTTTCAGTTGTTCAAAAGTACTTACATGATTTAAACTCTATTTTTTGACAACTTATCACCCATTATGTATTTATGAAACCAATTTGGTGGGCTGTTTTGGTTTAGATGCTCATGCAAAAATGAAATGAGTGAAGGGGCTTATACCTTGACAACAAAGAAAACCCAATCCTTGGAACAATATATCGTCATGTTTGAAGTTGGACATTCATGAAATGTCCAAACTTTATTTGTTATAGTGTATCTTTAGTTTGATTAGTATAGTTATTTTGAGGGAGAGCCTCGGCACAATGGTAAGTTTGTTGCTGTGATTCCCTTCTATAGCACACTATCGTTGTCATCATAATCCAGATTCATTCATCTAAAAATATATATAACCCTGTTACCATTGATCCAAAAATGTTTTTTTAGTAAACGTATGTGGCTTTATTTAAAGGCTCTGCTGAAATTCGTATTCAATGCAGCCTAGTTCTTTTTTGTCATTCATAATGATCTAGTTTATGATATCGCCCTGGAACGTTGAAGCTCACTCCCCTTTACTTTCTTGATGCATGACAAAATACTTAAACCTGAAATGTCCATGAATAAAGGTGTATACCTTTGTTTTGTTTTATGATTTCAAAAATGCTCTTGTAGGAGCTGGCGGAAACAACTTCAAATTGCTAGGGAAGCTAGGAGAGTGGACATACTATGTGATCGTTTGTCTCTGAGCCACAAAATCCTCAAAGGAACTGAACTATACAAAGAACTTCAGAACACTGTAAATGAAGCTGTGAAAAAGCTCAAAAAAGAGCTTGGACCTCTTGATAAAGTCTCGGCAGTGATGGCAAGGGGTATTGTGAACCGACTAGCTTGTGGTGCCGAAGTCCAGAAGTTGTGTGGTTTAGCAGTACAAGCTCTGGATACCATGCTTTCACGCACATTTGATGGATTGGTTAACTCTGCAGACTTGAAAAACCCAGGTAAAGTTAAATTTTGTATCTGCCCTCTGGAGATATTTCTTTAAAGTCTACAAGATTTGTTCATAAATGCATAATTATAGTCATAACGAAACCAGATAACTTATGTGATAAAATATTACAGTGATGGATAATAATTGGCTGTTTGATATGCTGCAATTGTCAGTGCAGCAAATGTTACTTGTAGATATGCTCCATGCAGCATTTATTGAAAATAAGCTCAACTCCATAACATCGTTTGGGTATCTGCACTTTTGATGTAGGAAATGTATTTTCAAATGCAAATACAATGTTTGGTTAGTTGTAAAAAGTATTGAATTTGCACATTTGTTCTAGGAAACGTATTTCTGTTGCAAATCAAGTGTATGGTTATCTGTAGCTGCAAAATGATTTGACATTTTAGCTGTGTGCTAGATAAACTTGATGATGTGACATTAATTACTCATGTTATTTATTTTAGTGAACTGCATTAATTGTTTCAGCCATATTGACTGCGATGAATACTTCATCGTTTCCTACAAAAAGAAATCTAGTTACCGTTCCCAACTATGATGTTTCCAATCGAAAGCTAAAAATCATAATTTAATTGTAGTACCTTCTGCTGCTCAGCTGCTGTATTTTTATTTGCTATAGGGCAAACAGCCTCTATATGAAGTAATCTCTCCTTTTTCTTTTTCTTTTTTTTTAATTTAATAAAGGCCATGGCTTATGAAGTAATCTCTCCTTTTTTTTTTTAATTTAATAAAGGCCATGGCTTGACTTTAATCTGCGGTTTCCTGTGACCCAACCCCACATATTTACCACTGAGCCAGGCCTCATTAGCTAACTATATGAATAAATAACTAGCACATTGAAGATTACATAATTAAAACCATTGAAGATAATCTAATAAAATTTACAAAAGTGATGTTATTCTTCAATACACCTTATCCTAATTAAATCAAGAGTAAGTTGTATTTCTCATCTTATCACAATATTCTAGTTAACAACCTTATAGTTCCAGCGTGAAATATAATGTGGACAGTGACTGTAACTATTTTTCGGTGAGTTCTTTACAAAGCTATTTATTCTACCGAACTGTTAAGATTCACCAGTACCTAATTAGCGCATTTTCCTTGATTTAAACTTGTAAAGAGAGAAAATACTGGAAACGTCAAAAGGAACAAGAAAACAAGTCCGGTTAAATTCTTTTTCTTATATCATTATACCATTACAGAATAAAAAAACAAAGAAAGCAATTATTACAGAAGACACAACTGCACTCAAAATCTTTTAATCTTAGCACCATAGACCAATATATATATATACCTGTACTCTATTTTTATAAGGTGAGGATGGTGAATACATAAAATGAGTTGATACCAATATCCTTTCGGCAATCTGAAATATGGTAATGATGGTGACTACATAAAATAAGTTGATATCAATATCCTTTCTGCAATTTGAAATATGACATTTTTATTCTAACTCGTCACGTATTACAGGTCCCCAAACATTCAAAATCCAATTCGAAGACATATCTCCAACCTCAGTTACTGTCTCGCTTCATTACAGGTCCCCAAACATTCAAAATCCAATTCGAAGACATATCTCCAACCTCAGTTACTGTCTCGCTTCAATCCAAAGACGAAGCCTTCGAAGACACCATAATTGGCTGCTCGCTATGGCATCGAAGCTCACACTCTTTAGTCTACCCTCGAGAACCTACTTTCATAATACTTAGACCTGAAACAGAATTCAAAGTTTCTGGCCTCTCTCCATCAACTGAATATTACTTCAAGGCCTCACCCTTCAGCAGCACGAAAGAACTTGGTAAATGGGAGGTTCATTGTATAACCCGAAACCTCAACTACATTTCAAAATCTCCAAAAGTGGAGCAAGAATTGATCGATCAACCAGCTATAGTTGAAGCTGACTCTCAAAGAGGTTCAACCAATACAAGTGACAACAACCAAGGACCAAACCATAAAAATGCACCAACGGACACACCGAGCAACCCCAGTAGGCCGAATAATACTTTGCCAGATTCTGGCAATAAGGCTTCAACCGAAGAGAGACAATATGAATATTGTGTGAAGGTGATAAGATGGTTAGAATGCGAGGGATACATGGAGAAAGAGTTCCGGGTGAAGCTTTTGACTTGGTTTAGTTTGAAGGCGACGCCTCAAGAACGAAGGGTTGTGAGCGCGTTTATTGACGTGTTGATTGATGAGCCTGAGAGCTTGGTTGCTCAATTGGCTGATGCTTTCATGGATGGGATATGTAATAACAAGAAACAGGTAGTTAGAAAAGTGTTTTGCACTAGAATGTGGCATTGAGAATTGTGGTGCTTTCGTACTAACAATGTTTGGGATGCCATTGTGGGTGCATTTAACTAGCAGTTCTTTAGTTGGTTGATTCAGAAGTAGAGACTAATTCAAAGTCAAGTTGTTGATCTTTGTTGAGAACTTACTTTGGTATGTGTTATTTGTACTAATTGATGTTTTCCTTTCACTTTGTTTTGCTGGGTTTTTTTTTTCTCATTTGGATTCAATCAGGTATTTTGATGAGTATTTGTAAACATATAAAGGCTGTCTGATGTAATTAGGGATGTAAATGGATTCAGACAAAATATGCATCTGAATGTTCTATGGTGTTGAGATTGACATGGGTAATGTTGATCAAATAGTTATTAGATAGTTCGATAATTGTTGGTTAACTATTGATTCAATTTGGATTAGGAAGATCATTTAATATAAGTACAATACGTTCCTTTTTTTCCCATCAAATATTTCTTTGTACGACTGATCAACTATATGTTATATTTTGGTCCTCATTTATGCCCTTGTGTTTATACTTGGTTTGAGAGATTGAGTTTCAAATCCTAAGGGTCTTGCAAATTGGTCCCTCAAATATTAAAGTACTATTTCACCACACAAAAAAAAAATCTAAACACATAGTTGAGGGTATTTTGGTCATTGAGCGACAATATTGCGAGACCGCTTAGAATTCGAGAGACTTTTGAACATCTTCAAAGCCTTGGGGGACTAACATGGAATTATTGAAGATTTGAGGGTAATGTCCACAATTCCCTTTTCTTTAGAGAAGTTTGTAATACAAGAATCTGTTTGGGCTTTTCTGTAAAAGTACTTATTCTTAGCCCTAAGTCCAATACTCCAACGATGAGCCCATAAATCAAGGGGGAAAAAGGGTAAAATCGAAGCAGAAATTAAATTCGAAATAGGAAAAAAAAAATCAATGGATCCCCAGCTCAACGAAGTCTCTCAGGTCTTCGCTCGATTCAAGGCCGCCTTCACTAGGAACGATTTCAGCACGTGCTCTGATCTCCTCTCCCGGCTAAAGGTGCCCTTTTTCTCTCTTTCTAGATCTCGTCACAAATTTTTCGTTATTTTAGGGGTTTGATCTGCTGGTTGACGCATGTCGTTGGTTTTCTTGTGAAATTTTGAAAACTGGTGTGGAGAGACTCTGTAGAGTTTGGGGAAAACTTTGTTCCTTCTGATTAGGGTTTAGAACGATGAGATTTTTTATGTTGTTTTTATTTGGTTGGGGCTGTTCAATCTAAAGGTTCGAGTCTTGTTGTCTCCAGTGAGGGCAAAGTTATAATTTTATGCTTTCCTAGGGTTTAAGGATAGATTCCATTGATTTTTGAAGCTGAGTTTCTAGGTTTTATGAATACTTGCAAAATTTGTACGGTCTGTTATATCAGTGCGTACAAAAACCCAAATATTTGATTTCCAAAAAAAGAAACCCTAGTTGGATTCATAATGCTTTTTATCCATACCATCAGAATCGCCATTTGACCTGAGTTTTTATTGAGCCTTGAATATTGCTTCGGTACAAATTCAGGTATGTTTAGTGGCTTGCATATATTTAATTTTTCACCCAGTGAGTGTGTTCATCAATAAAAGAATTCCTTTGTTCCCTAGCTTCTGCTTAAGCTGCTGTTCTGTTTCTTTTTCCTTGAATCTTTTGCATTGTTGCTGAAATACATGTATATGCATCAGAATGTCGGGGAATTTTAATCCCTTTCCTAATTATATTTTGATGAAGGATCAACCTTTCCAGTATAGTTTATGCCCATCCATATCCTTTATATGATCGAATTGTTTTACTTATACATGGGTACTCATACCTTGAACTAAATTCGCTGTATATATAGTGCTCATTGCTCTTCAAACAGAGGTGCTTCCAGAGCCCCATTAGTTGCTCCATACTGACTCCATAGTTCTTGTGTTATGTTCTGCTGTTTCATCTGTTGTGATTAAATACCACTTTACCAAATTTTGTGAATGTGATGTTTGTTGTCTTTATTGCAGGTCCTCTTGACCAAGTTTTCTAGCCTGCCACCATCTTTTCAGCAGACACCTAACGCAGTTCAGGAGCTGACTCTAGCAAGTAAGATCTGAATTAATTTGTTTAGAACTAATATCTGAACGTTTAATACTCATCGCGATATATGTGGTAGTTCTTTGGTTATATAGTTTTTTGTTCCCTTTCATTATATTGCCTACAAGTTAATTCATGTCAATAACTTATGGTCGTTGTTGCTTGGCAAAATCTTCAGGAGATATTTATGAACATGCAGTTGTTTTAAGTGTGAAAATCGAAGATCAAGATGCATTTGAAAGAGACTTCTTTCAGCTGAAACCTTACTATACTGATACATGGTAACCATCTTGTTCCATATTAAGCTGGTACAAATAATTGCTAATACTTGGATGACAATGCAACCATTGGCGATAACTGCTTCTGAATATTTGTCTGGTTAAACCTTATATTACCTTGTAGCTTTAACGTCATTTTATGCCACAATTATGTCATCCTTAGTTGCAAATAGTGTATGAGTAGCATTCCCATCTCCACTAAATGACCCACAAAAAAGTTGACAAGCTCTTCACAAATAGTTGCTATTTTGATACTACTTTTCTATTTGATAGTGTTATGTTCCTGATGTGCAGCTTTTCAAAAATCTGATCCATTTTCTTTTTGGCTATTCTTTCCTGGCTATGCATGTCCACTTGCATAGTTGAATTAAATATAAGCATACTTCAAAGTTCAATCCTATTTAAATCCAAAAGCGTACATTAGATATAATTTCTCCTAGGAAATACAGTTCGGTTGATTGTGAGTAATTAATTTCAGATTGATTTGAATCGTCGTATATATATAGTTCTCCTTTGTAAACAAATGAAAATATATGATCCCTTTTGCATGATGTTTTCATTTCTAACTTGTATGAATGATAAGCTTGTTAACAAATTTGCAATCATGATATTATGTATACCTTAGTCATGTTGTATGTTATCATTTTAGTTGACAAAAGTGTGTTGAGATATGGACACACACAAGTTGGCATATCCACATCATCATTTTTTCATGTCCGTTCCCTTGCAACATAGGCCAAGATAATTGACGTTATTATTGTTTATTGTACAGTTTAAACAAGCATATTCAATATCCCAACTCTCAACATTGTAAATTATATAGACTGAGATTTTCTGATATGTATATAGTTTGCTCTTAGCAATATAGTTATCAATTTTCTTGATGGTTTACTTGAATAGACTTGGCCATAGGGTCTGATTCCATGAGCTTCTTCGCAGTGGTATATCAGGACATGTTTTGGCTTAAGTATCTTCTGAGTATCTTATCGTAACTTTCTTTTTTCTTGAACAGTGGTGTTCTTCCTCCATCACCCCAAGAGTACCCAATCTTGGGGCTTAACCTTCTGAGGCTCCTTGTGCAAAATAGGATTGCTGAATTCCACACAGAACTTGAGCTGCTTCCAGCTAGTGCATTAGAAAACCCTTGCATCAAGCATGCTGTTGAATTGGAGCAGTCTTTCATGGAAGGTGCTTACAACCGCGTATTGAGCGCCAGACAGACTGTTCCACATGAGACTTATGTTTATTTCATGGATCTTCTTGCAAAGACAGTGAGGTACTGACGCTTTTCAGAACATTTTCTAATACTGATGCTAAGAACTTAGTTGAAATGTTAACAGTGTTTACTCATATTTTCCTCTTTTTACTATTGCAGAGATGAGATAGCTGGTTGCAGTGAAAAAGCTTATGATTATTTGTCAATTAGCAATGCAAAGAAAATTTTGATGTTCTCCTCTGATGAAGAACTTTCTCGATATATCATGGAGGTGTGTGATTTATGCCCCTCTTCTTGTTGGGTAGTTTTCATTCCTTTCCCCCTTTATAGTTAATTTACTTCTATGAAAACACTAGTTTTTAATCATCAATATTTCATGAAGAAACGCTTAAATTCCGGAGTTATATTTTTCTTGTTATGAGTACTTGAAAAATTATGGCTGACAATTGTTTGTGTGCTTTCTTTGGGGTTGTTAAAACCTTTCGATGCTAGTTCATAAATTGTTTGAGCAAGGCATAAGCATGTTATACTCTTGTTAATTTTGTTGGTTGAGTTCATTGAGGGATTGTTGTACTGCACACTTGTTTTCAGACAACATCTAGAGTACTTCAGTGATTAGGTATATGCAGGATTCTTGTCTATGCATGTAGTGATAGGGAAAATTGAATTGATAGATATAATTGGAATTTTATAAAATTAGAATGAGGTTTTCTTGCCATTTGGACAGCAAAGTCAAAAAATGAGCAAAACTAATTTTTTGCAGAATAAGGATTAGGTGAAGGTAATTTTACAGGATTTCAGAAGGACAAATCAGGTGTAAAATATGTACTGCTCTTCCTTTCTCCCTTAAAAATTTTCTGTAAAACGTGTAACTTTGTTGTTAGTAGTGCCAAGTTATTCAGATTGCATCATAAAGAATTTCAGAGTTGACTCCACAATTTCAATGGATGACTACATTTCTGTTCTAATTTTTACTTCAAATTGAGGTAGAATGTGTCAAGGGTCTACTTGATATGTACTGTTTGTTACTAGTTTCCTTACCATACGGTGTGATGTAGAATCAGTGGAGTTTGATGCAATTTTGTCTTCAACTTGTAGGAACACCCCGAGTGGGAGATCAAGAATGGATGTGTTTACTTTCAGAAAGCAAAGGAAACTCAACCATGCAAGGAAATACCATCGCTGCAGCTAATCAATCAAACCTTGAACTATGCAAAAGAACTGGAGAGGATAGTTTGAGAGAGAAATAAACTTAAAGACGCCATTTGTGTTCTCTTTGGATGTACTCTTATTATTTTGTCATTCACAAGAAGTTTACTGCTTGTTTAATCGGCATAAGTACTTTTGCAAGGCATCTGTTTGTTTTCCTTGCATTAGAATAGCACGTTCTTGGAGTCCAGGGATTGAAGTAGGTTCGAATGCGTCCCCATGTAACTTTGGTGAGATCTCCGGATTATTTGCAGAATTCTGTCCTGATTCATCAGATGAAAGTTTCATCGCTTAGAAATGATATTTTGATATTCCCTTCACTGCATGTGGTTATACTTGGTCTATTTTCTTCATGACAACAAAAATCCTTGCCGAAGTCCATTGAGGAAAGTAGTGACTAATTCTGAATTTTACCCATTTCTCCTTGCAATATCCAACAACAAAATATTGTTCCAGAATTTGTTGGTTGGTTAAGTGAAAATTATTCCCCCGTCAATTTTGCAAAAGGACCGCAGGCCTGTTTGGATGGGGGTAATAGGAGGGAAGGAACAAAATCTTGTTATAGAATTTGTTGGTTGCTTATGTGAAAATTATTCAGAAGTACAATCAACCTATCATCAATAGAAATCCCACCGCCGCTAAAAAAAATGGGTGGAACGGAACCTAGGGGAATGGAATTCCTTTTAGCTTCCCTTCTCTCTTCTCTATTCTCTCTTAGTTTCCCTTAACATCCCCTACCCCCAATGAAAACCAATGAAATCCAAACAAGCCAAGCTAATAATTACAGTAACTTTCTTAATTTCTTCGGACTAAATTCTTCTATCTTGCTTTAATAACTGTAATTTTATTACTTCTCCTAACAAGATCTTGTATGTGAAGTACAAAAAGAAATCTCCTTGATCACTTAAACAAGAGAGATGACTTCTTCTGTGTCTGCAACTAAAATCAGGTCAAGGTGACTGAACGCGATGATATAAATAAACTTTATGGTATGTAACCAAAGGCAAAACAAAGTTCGTGGCATATAATCACGGCTAACCAATAAAAAATGCATGTAGGGACAAAATCAGTGGAACTCTAGGCTGCAATCTGGCTTTATTAAGCACAACTGACGAAAGGAAATACAACAGCATATCCATCTCCTTCAATTCTAGAATTTTCATTTGCCTTATTCCCAGTAAAAGATTTAAGCATCAGAATGTCATTCAAGACTACGCGGTAAAGAATAAAGACACTGCATTGTGCTACTTGATATACATACACACACTACAATGCACAGGATTGTAACTAAGAAACTCTTGTTTATTTTTCTATTTATTTTTCTAATAGCTCGGACTTTCTTCTAATCCTTCTCTTTTTCAGCTTTATCTGTTAGTTAAACAGGGATAATACCTTCATTTTACAACTTTCCAGGTGTAGCGAAGACCATTATTTACAATTCACTACCTGAAATGACCAAACACTACCACCTCAATATTTACATTTTAACTGATCGGGCGTCCAAGCAGCAAAAGGCCAGCTTAGTTATACCTATTTCCTCGAAAAGGGTGCTCGCTGAAGGAGAAGAAAATAATGAAGGAATAAAAAAGACACGCTCAACAAAACTCTAAACAAACTAAACTCTGGTCTTCGATCTTTATGAGTTCCCCACAGACACAACTGATGGTGGTATTGGTGTTTTCAGCATTTTCTTCAGTGAATCCACAATGCTTGAAAATGAAGGTCGTTGTTTAGGATCGCTGCATAATACCACAAAAATATTTTTATTTGTGTAATTTGTATCAGATTAAAAGTTAGAAACTAAGCGGAAATTATTAGTATTAAAAAAAGGTCTAATCTCACACTTAGTAGTACGAAAAGCTTGCTATTCATTTACTTCCGTATTGTTAGGATAATTACCAAAGGGTTTATGGTCTTTTTGTATTAAATATCTAACTTCCAAATGTAATATGTCTGCATTTATAACCAAGATATGATCATATACTTAGTATATGACAAAGAACTCCATTGAAAGATATAAAATGGTTCTCGGTAATATATTTACTATGTATCGTAAAAGAAATTAAGATAGTGCTAGTACTTAGGAAATTATAGTAAAGGTTTTGTTGCTAATCGTAGTACTAGTCCTTGAACAGTATAGTAAATCTTGGGAGTTCACTGAAAAGCATACTAGGATAGCAGACATTTTCGCAACTAGACCTCTTGTAACAACTCAAAAGATGGTGAAGCATCAATTTGTAAACTAAATGACTACCAAAAAGAAAATAAACAAGAACAGAAGAATGCTTACTCGGCCCAGCAAGATTCCATAAGTGCGACTAACTCGGGGGAAACATTCTGTGGGATTGACAGCCTTCTGTTCTGAAATGCAACTGCTCCCACCACCTGAATTTTTTTGCTATTAAGAGTCCGGAAAATAGGTTTACATGCATATTACTACTCAACTATCTCCACAATAGATAAGCTAACAAATTTTTCTTCAGGGCAGAATGTGCTATTTAGCCTTTTGTGGGTGTTACTTACTTTATATAACCTTCCACCTTATTTTTTCCGTACTTTTATTAGTTCTTGGTTGTATATGTGTTACTAGCGGACTTCCATGTATTCATCCATTGTATATATACTACTATTTTCCTTTTAGTTCTATGTGTGTCTTGCAGTAGTAGCCTAAGACTAGGTCGTTTACTGATTATAAAGACTAAATGATTTTCCCTACTGAGTAAATTAAGTCACAGTGATGTATGAAATCACGTAACTCTAGGAATATGGACAAAGACCAATCAAATTTTCTAATACTTGACTTCTCTCAATCATCAAACATTCACATGGGCAAGAAGGAATCTAAATCCTTCTCAAGATCAGGAAACAAGTATAGAAATATGAAACAGGAATACCTGTGCAGGGCTCAACCCGCTCCAAGGTTGTTGCATTGTCAGAAGCTCCCATAGGATAACCCCAAAGCTGTAAACGTCAGACTTCTCATTTGTTGGCTCCCCTCGGAGAAATTCTGGAGCCATCCATTCAGGCTGAAAACCAAAAACAATAAATTAATTAATTAAAAAAAAATCTAAAAGCTTCTCATGAGAAGGTACAGAACTTCCTTCTTTACGGGGACGAACAATTACTATAAGGTGTGATGACTATTCTCTCAATGTATAATATGAGGATGACTGGTTTCAAAAAAGAAAGAAATGAATCATCTTAACTTCTCAATTTATTTCCAATCCAGATGTACCTTAAAACCCACATCTTGAAATATAGCTGTAGTAGGAGACGAAGACTTTATAAAGTGAGTATCAATATACTCTTCAACCTTTCAAGGTTATGCTTATGCATGCAAGTTATAACTATAAAGGCTGAGGGTACTTAGCAGCATGCACAGGCAGTTGGGCAAAAAACACTCTATTTGTGCATGGTCACTGGATCTTTTTTAATTCTGCGCCTTTTTATACTTCAATAAGATGAGCAACCAATATCCTTATGGAAGTTGCAGATTTGCAAGGATGCCAGTAATGCTTTTCAGTTAATCTCTTCAAGCAAAAGGACATTAACTCAAATTTCCATGTGAAATCAAACGAAAAAGTTAACAATCACATAATCGGCAACCTAGATGAATACCGGCTTTCCCAGTCATTCCAGTACACGTTTCCATTTTTTCTTTTTCCTTTTTTTTGGGTATTTGAGTCCAGATGAGCAGTCAAGCCTATATTTGGTTATAAACATAGTTAGTAACCTTGTTTACAATAGATGATAAGAAAATGTAAAACCCAGACTGGATTTCAGATTAAAGGAATGGAAAAACTTACTGTTCCTGCAACAGACTTTGAGGATATGAAAGTGTTCGCCTTGAATCTCGATAACCCAAAGTCACAAACCTATAGGCACAAGTTTGAGTTGAGATCATCTAATCAGTATGTTTGAGACCTCAAATAATTTACAACATACCTTTACTGACCAATTCTTGTCAACCAAAAGATTTGGAGATTTAAGATCCCAATGAACTACTGGGGGATTAAGACAATGGAGATAGTTGATACCCTTGGCCTGTATTTTGTCACAAGATACAAATTACTCATGAAGTGCATGGTTTTATGAGAGAAAATGAGGATTATACAAACCACATCTAAAGCCATTCTCAATCTCCTCCTTTTGTCCCATAGTTCTCCTGAAGAAGCTCTATTTATGAGGCGGTAAAGGCTTCCCCTGTATTGCCAAAATTGTAACCAAGATAAATAACTAAGGGAATTATACAGTGAAACAGAAGATTCATTATTCTTTTTCAGTTTGAACCAAGTTACCTCGGCAGATATTCCGTAACTATTGAAAGATGTGGACGTTTTGTAACTGCTCCCATAAATAGAACAACATTTGGATGGCGAACGCGCTTCATTATTGAAACCTGCAAATTATTTGAGAAATAATTGTTTACAATTAAACTCAAGTCCGTATGAGGAGATAATTCTCAAATTTGTTCAATAATTCAGAACCAAAATGACATTCCCAATTACACTTTCTCATTATCTGAAAATGTACCTCCCTCAAAAACTCCTTCAACTGATCTTCACCAAAATCTTGATCAGCAAGAACTTTCACAGCAACATCCTGCACATTTCTCCTAGTGAACAATTTTGTTGAAAGATAAAAGAAGTATAGAGGAAAAAGCAGCTTCAAATGCATAAAACTATACAAAAAATTTGTTTGGTATACACAAACATGCATTTATCTAATTTCTATTCTTTTTATAGCTCATATTTATTTTCCTGTGGCTGAAAGAAGGTTAAGAGAAAGGAAAATTTAGTAATTCCAGCTCTCTAATAGGAGAAAAGACCACGATCTCTTTACTAACTTCTTTATTGCAGAAAATAAAAACTAAACCTTTCAACTGTAACACACAAGTTAACTGTAATTTACTTATACTAGTTTCCTAGGACCAAAGTGCTAAAAATCTCACTCTAAGGAGTCAATTAACAGTATCTCCTCCATCGCGTAACACATGCTTCTACTCCAAAATATCTTGATGACATGGGGCCATTTATGTTTCTTTACATGATTAAAAAAAAGAACGTAGTTGAAGTATAGAGCAGGACCAAATTACAAATTTCACCGTTTACAGACGAATCCTGGTATTATTGAACAACTTGTAAATTAACAGATCAACAATCAAAACTTGGCGTATATGTTGTCAGACTTAATTTTAGCCAAATATTTTGGCAGATCAGATAAAAGAATACATGAAAATATAAACATAAGATGCTTGTATAAAAGTGACATGCACAACAAGAATGAAGGGAAAAACTGCTCACAGAATGATGCCATTCCGCACGGTAAACAGTGCCAAACGAACCTAAGACCAAAAAGAAAATGTAACTCAAATAGGTTCCTAAGCATTGAATAACCAAAAAAAAAAAAACTAGATCAGAAAAAGAACAACCAGCACCAATCCGCTCATTGATTTCTAATTCATCCCATGAAATCTCAAGCCAGTCCATGGCAAGAGAGGGTTCAAGACTCAAGTATCTTGGTAATGTGACATTCGGAGAACTTCCCTCATTGGCACCTTTATCACTGGCCTCCTTCCATTTTGGTGGCTTGGGTATTTCAGATGAACCATTCCAATTCTTTGTGAATTGACTCTGATCAAAATCCTTGTGACCAATAACTTTTGCCCAATTTATGTTGCTTCCTATCGAAGAAGAAAAAATATCATGATCAAAAGCTTTAGGCATTAGCTTGAATATTCCATAAAATTTCTAAAGGCTTTTCCATGTGGTTGTACAAAGCAACGATGATAACAACAAGCATCGTTGCCAAAAAAAACAATGAATTCGCAAGTGACGATGACAAAAACTAACCTTGCAGAGGTTTCACCAAATTCCACAATATGTTTCCAACGCATAATGCGCCTTTAAAAATTATCAACATGAGGTTAAAATAAATTTTACCTGGATATTGAGATTTGGCAACAAGGGAACCAGTCTGCCCCTGAACCATCATCTGAGTCCATGCCCAAGTAAATCTACAACAAGTTCTCTGCAATAAGATAAAGATGAAATCCCATTAGGAAAGAGCACTTCAAACAAAACAAACCTCCCAACGGAAAGAGATGATTGAATGCTGAATGAACAATTCCTAATTCATGTATAATTCCTTAATGAAGAAACCACTTTCTTAAAGGGCCATTTTCGGATTCAAAGATGCAAGTTGAATAGGGTAGTTAGTGCAACTCTATCAAGTCTTAAGATTCTTGAAAATCAGAGTATATTAGAACTTGTTTAGCGAAATATCATGAACACTGAAAGGGAAAAACTAATAAACCTTGCTGATTCTTGTTTAGGATCACCAATTTTAACAAGACAAGAAGAACGATGCGGCAATGTGCAGTACTTGCATCCTTGAGCTATTCGACATGGCAAACCAACAGAATCAGCTAGACCCTGCATATCAAATCAAAAGAAATTTTACACCTGATAATACAAACACTCTTGCTATTTGCATTAATAATTTCATGTTCACAACCAGCAAATCCAGATAAAGCCACGGTGAAGGGTATACGGTCCACCTGGGTTTTAAATTTGCTGAACTATGACACTCCATAGGAACACGGTTTCAAGCTTAAGCTTGAGGGGTAAGTCATTACATAAACTTATGCTAAATCAAACTTGATGGTCAGTCATGTAACTTGCAATTAAACACATGAATATACAACCAGCTGGAACTAGTGCAGTAAAACCATACATTAATCAGAATATCTACCTTTTTTGTTTTGTATGTATGCATGCCTCCATATAAGAAACAAACATTCAAATCCTATGTTTTTTGTTAGATAACACTCCTCTTCTAAAACCAAGATCATAGGGGTGCAGTTTTCAATTCAAGCAGTCCCATGATTTTTTCTCAGTGTTATAAAGGAATATTAGAGCAAGGACTACTATTATAAACATGTCTTATCTTAAGAAGACATTAAATTTACTCTTGCCTGACAATACTCCTCCATCATGTCTTTATAGCATCTCAAAGGAATGGCTCTTTTTGCCTTTTAGATTTCCGTTGTGGAAGCAGAATGATTAATGATGCACCTTCTTTAGTAGAACTCTTAACATAAAAAAAGGCATACATATAAGGACATCAAAAACACAAACACGCTCATATATCATATACATTCATATACGCATTACACACAAATGCATCCATACCTATGAAAATGCATGCGAAAACTATTGGATAGTTTTTCATATCAATGTTGTGTAAAGTAATACCTCCAATGTGCATGCAGAAACTATTAGCTAATATTTTTATTATAAACACTATGAAAGTAATATCTTATGTGTTCAATTAGCTCAAGTCCTGTATTGCAGTATTTTCTGTAGAAAGTCCATCCACTAACTGCAGTGTCCCAGCAAAAGTCAAGTACCACCAACGAGACAAATTTTAGTAATTGAATTCTTCCGGTGCATATAGTAGAAGAAGGGGACTACATTAGAATAAGAATTTTTTTGAAAGGACACTGATATATTTTTTGCTTAAGAGACCACAAAAAACAATGTAGTTTACCCATTGTTATCTCCTAATTAATACCTAAGAAGTCTAGAATTACCTTGCTGGCTCACCCCACTGGATCTAGTTTAGGTCCTTTTGACATACAGAATTGGTGTCATAATTTGCATAGCCATGTGACACCAATGCTTCCCTGCTCAGACATGATGCTTTTGAACCGTTAAACATAATGCACAAAATTATCATTTTATTCTAACATAATTAGTAATATCTAAATATTCTACATAATGCACAAATATATCCTCCTAACATAGCCAGTGATATTAAGCATTTCTGTATTTTTTAATGGAATTTCCTAATAGATGTACCATGGCATCCCTTTTCATTCAAAAGAAAACAACCATACGAATCATTATAAGCTTCAGCTCGTCTTAATGAGTGGAGCCGTACAAGACATTATTTCTGGCTTATAAAAAGAACAAGGTTAAACTGGATAGTGGTATTAAGATTCATAAGTGCTCTTAGAAAATCAGAGATTGGGAATCGTAAGTGCTCTTAGAAAAACATTGGGTGATAGACACGATGTTTATGACCAGTACTTAATGTTCATGAGAGGCATACAAGCAATTGGTTAAATATCCTCTCTCTTCACAGTGTCATAATAATTAACCTTCCTGGCCCTATCCCATGGGATTTACAAAATGATGGTTTAGTAGCCAGGTCAAACCTGATAAATCTGTCCATACAAACACTCTATATAAATGACCATCATGCATATGTGCCTTGTATGTGCAAAATATACAAGAATCCAACTGTAAACAGAATAATAATCAATCATTAAAATTGAATATGAAGATGATAGGTCAAAGTAAAGGATTTGTACTTCATCCAATTTGATTAGATGGTTGCTCTACAGCTTACAACATTTATTTTGTATGCTTGAAGCCAATAGAGACATATACAACACATGGAGATTGTAGTGCACTGAATCAAAAGCATAGATGAATACAGCAAATATAGAACACTGCTGACCATATCACAAAGGTTCAACGAAGGTGATCAGAATGGAGAACCAATGTTTAGAGTAGTAAGGACCTGAAGGACATACTTGCATGTTATTATCAAATTACTATAATAGGAATTTTACTGACATGTCCCCCGCTAATTCTTCCTACTAATAAGAGTTATGTTGATACAAGCTCTCCAATTAATCTACCAAGTCCAAGATCACAATAAGAAACTTTTGTAAAGAAGCAATATTAATTTGGGCAGATCAATCTGTAGGAAGCTAAGTGTCTTATTCAAATGAAGCGGCCCCTAATGCAATATACTAGCATCAAAATATGTGAATCAATATGGCAAGAATAACTTGCCTTGAAAAGGATGGCGCGATGCCTGCAAATTCCAAAAGATAGGATGCCAATTGGAATGACTACGGATTTGTGACGCTTTCTCAATTGCTTGCTATATGATTTCCATTGCCTATAAAGATCTCCTTGTTCTGTTTCAAATGCACCCCTTCAAACACAAACATATATTCAAAATTTATCATTCAGTAAGAATAAGAATAGATCCAAGTAATTCTCAACAAAGAAAAGATGAGACATACCCCATAGAATCAGAAACAAGCCTGGCCAGCTTTTTGACTAGCTCTAATGAAATCCCTGAAGCATAGAAATATTCTAAAGCTTTGTCTTCAAGCATCTTAATGCCAGGATCACCAGCTTTATCAACAAGGACTACCTCCATAGAGGACTCTCTTAAATCAACTGCTCTCAGAGCAGCCAAAGTGGGCAACCTTCTTCCTTCTTCTGACTCATTGCACATCGCCCAAAGAAATGGATCCATTCCCATAATGTTGTAGAAGCCATCAGTTACTTCATCGGAGAAAGATAAGCAACCATTCACCTGCAAGACAAAAAACCAAAAAAGAGGAAAATTTTATGACAACTAGTAATTTAACAACAAAGAATATATAATAGAATCATATAGCATGCCTAATCTTAACCAACAAAGGCTTTAGCAGGTATAATTCCAATGGCTTTGTTTCCAATAAAGGCAAGGGTAACAAATAAGAATCCTCCTCTCCTATTACAAAACAACTCAGTACATATAGTTTACAGAGGGGATCATGCCCTAAAATAAAACAGTTCCTCTTAAGAAGGCAAACCAAATCAGAACACCAGGCAGTTTATTTAAAACATTTCTTTTACATGCAAACCGAAGCACACAACAAAACACAGAGCTAACAAGAAATATCCCTCCTGCACTTTCCAAAGCAAGCAGAAAAATGGCTTTTTCCCCAGGAATGTGTTAACATTATTCCAGAAAAGAGCTGCACAACCATAACAGCTCCAAGTTTCGGCGAGAAATTGCAAAGAATGCCATTACATAAATAGATAAGAATATATATAATTTTTTTAAATATATAACAAAATAAAAGTAGTTTCGTCTGGTATGAATTCAATGAAAAATAGAATGGGGAAAACATAGACTTAAATTTAATCAATTAAATTTAAACTTTCATGTCTGAGAAGAGTAGTAGACAAAAAAAGAAAAAAAAAACTTTTTTTCCAAAATTTTCACATAAAGCTACAACTTTTGAGAAATAAGTTTCTGACAAGGACAGTGCCATTAACTCTATACACAACAAAACCTGTTCTTTTTCCAACAGCAGCAACAACAAAACATTTATTCTACATTTAGGGAGTCAGCTACATGAATCATATTCTTATCACTAATCCTGACTAGTGCATTTAGCGGCACCCATTATACATGACCAGCAACTGACGATGATATCGATCTAAGGAAAAGAGCCGACTTTTAGAAAGAAACAACAAACTATGACCCAAAATTCAACAAATTAAGCAGGAACTTAAATAAAAGAACCAAACTTTTAGATAAGAAAACAAGAAATTACCCAGAGCCGGTAGGAGGCCGTGCCCGAATGATCGGCGGCCCGCCGACCTCGCGCGGCCCCCTGCAGCTGCCGGCAGAAACCCGCCGCCGTCGCTCCGCCAGGAACGCCTGCCACGTCACCCTCGTCGCCAGCGTCAGCTGAAGGTAGTAGCTTCCCTCGCCCTCCTGCGCCCATTTATCCCCTCCTCCTCCCCCTCCCCTCCTCCTCTCGACGCCACGGGCCCCACCTCTTCCGTCCTGGTCCCGTAGTCCCCGACGCCACCGTGGTCCCACCGGAGAAAAACTCCCGCAAAAACCGCTTCGCTCGACCGGTCCCCCGCTGACGTCAGCTCCACCCTGCCGCCCGGTTCGGCGAGTCATATCGGTTCGCTGCGCGAGAGATCCGATAAGGTGGAGGTCCGATAAGTGATCAGAGAGCAGGGCGTGGCTGGATCGGAGGTTATCGGATCCGGGGTGGCGAGCAGCGAACGGTTGGGCTCGCGACGGTAGTATGAGGCATCGCGGGTTAGGATCCGACCCGTTAGCAGCATCTTTCACAGGGAACACCCTAATTCTTATCGCCTTTTTCGTTTCGAAGAAAACCTAAGAAGGGAAAAGAGAAGAAGAAGGTGATGGATTCGGGTTTCGGGTTTGAGATCCGATAAGAGAATGGGAGCTGGAAGCGGGAGGGTAGAAGAGTGAGAATCCGTTGGGTTTTAAGAAGGCGGAGGGGAATTAAATTAAAAAAAAGGGAAGAATAATGAAGAGACCTGTTAATGTGACTCGGGACGCGGACCCGGAGGGTTGTTGTTTATAGACCCTAATTTCTTTCTTAATTACGTATAAGTCCTTCAAATCTTTGTATTTCAAATCTTTGTATTTCTGCGTTCAATGTCAAATCTATTAAGTCGTTTTAAATAACCTCATTGCATATATAGTCCTTTATACTAGATTCTAATAACTTCTTTAATAATTTTATATGGGTAAATTGCATGTAATCCACCATTCGTAGCACTTATGATGAACTATTTCGGTACACATAATTTCCATAAATAATTTTTGAGAAGAATAAATTGCAGATTTTCTCTCCATCCATTCTTTCTCCATTGTAATTATAGAAGTGTTAAGTTATATTAAAACAGGTGAAAGGGCAATAAAAAATATTAAAATTATATATAGAAGATATTATATTCAATTTATAATATCACTATATACTTCATAATCTTCTTATTTCTACTTTTCACCTTCGAGTCTCTTAATTTCAAGAGTATAACTATCTATACCACTCTGAATACAAAGAAGTTTTATTTAAAATTATATGATTGAGGTTTAAGTTAGAAGAACAAAGCTTTTAGGATCTAATAAACAATTAAGAAGATGGAATTTGAGGGTATAATATGAAAAAATAAAAGAAATAAATTGCGGGGCCCAAATTTAGATGGGTGATTTTTTGGGCCAAGTTAGTGTGGTTTGTGAAGAGCTCGGAAGAAGAAGGAGAGCGAGGAGTGCTAATGTGCGCGCGGACGGTTAAAGTGCACGGGCGTAACGAAGTCACACGTGGCAACTGGAGCCGTTTGGTTCCGACACGTTTGCAATGACCAGTGGAAGATGCTATAATGCGCTGGATGGCTCGGACGGGAAAAAGTGTTTTACTATTGGGGAGCACTGACTGTGCCGGCCGTTGACGTTATGTTCCGTCAAATTGCTGTGTGTCTTTTGCAGATTAGTCTATATCTTTTCTTCCGTTACATGAAATTTTACTAGGAATTTATAATCTGTTTTGTCGACACATACTGTTGTTTCACATTAGTCCGTGATAAATTTAAAATAATAATAGAAGGACTACTCTCGTGTGGATGTAACGGAGCTCACCAATATAGTATGCATAAATCAACTCTTTCTGTGATTCGCTTGTCCTTTTGTTTTAATCCAATTAGAACAGTCAAATAGCATAAAAGGGGAAAGCAATCCAAATAATTTCATGTAACTCTAGTTGAACCATAATTAAGATGGGCAAAAATAAAAAATAAAAAATAAAAAAATCCACCGCATTTTAGTGTTAGAATCACAAGTCCGTATATTTTGTATAACTAATTGTATATACAAATGAAATGGTCCTACTGTTGCAATAATTTATATTATTAGGTGAATAATCATCGAACAAAAGAAAAAAAATTCATCTACTCAAAAAAATAAAATATATAGGATCAATAATATAAGACTAGTATAAAAATCAAAAATGTTTTTTTTTTAAGTTTAGACCTTTACTTTAATATACTTGATAGATAGTAAATTTGATGTAGTGGAAGCGTAATCAAAAGAGAAAACTACTCGTTTTTGTACGAGCAAAACGGCACAACTCTAGAAACTCTAGGAATAGAAAAACTTCTAAGATCAATAATAACCAATCTAAAAAATAATATAGAGTTCATCCCCATTATATAGCATGTAAAACAAAGCAAAAGTGCTTAAATAACATTTCCTATGACAACTAGACTTGCTGAAATAAAAATACATTTCTAAGACAATTAGGCTTCCTAAAATAAAAAGACATTCTATAAAAAAAACTAAAACCTAAATTGAACCAAAACTCTTCCAAAAATATCAATTATTGCATCCGCGTTATTCTTCCCTCCATGAACAATACTCGTCCTCAAGTTTGGCTGACGGTAAAGCGACCTGATCGGGTAAAACTCGGTCAAATTAGCAATCTTCTTCATCTTAAACTTACGGTAGGTTTTCTTAGGCAATAATTCATTGCGCAGATGACCCATCATCAAATCTCCCTCATCGAACAATTTTAAACAATGATGTCTATCAGCATCCGAACTTTGCACAAAAAGAAAAAATATACCTTCTGAATTTGCGACTGCTGAGATTGGTTTGCTGCGTAAGGGTGCGAGTGCAAACCGAATACTATCTTTTCGAAAAGGAGTAAGTGTTCTCTTTGCCTCTATGAATGACATCAAGATCAAACAGTCAGGTCTTCCTAACAATAAGTGGCAGGCATCCATGTCAACTATATCGCACAAGATAACGTCTTTATACTTACCAATGGAGAAAGGAATCCGACACTATTTAGTAACATTGATGTTGCCTATGGACTTAATCTAATTGATCTTATAAGGATGTGGATGCTTCTTGATGGGTAATTGGAGGTGCTTTACAATATCTCGAGAAACAAAGTTCTCGCTATTGTTGCTATCAATGATCACGTTGTAAATCTTTTGTCGAATAGTGCAACAACAACGAAAGATGTTGTGTCATTATGGGTCCTCTTCAGTTCTTGGAGCCAACAATATCTTGCGAATCACCAACGAGTGGGAAGGGTAACCATTAATATCATCACATCCTCATCCGCTATGGTATAAGTTACCTCCTCCTAGCCAAAATCATCCTCATCGACTCGATCATCATCATAACTTACCATATTAATACGGTCACGCGCACGACAATCACTAGATCAGTAACCTAGTTCACCACACTTAAAGCACTTTCGCGGTATCGATCGAGCATAGGGGTTGGGATGAGACTCTCAAACAGCTACACCCTGACGAACAGGGTGACTGTTTGTACCAACCACCTGCTTAGTCAGAGTTGTTGGATCTAACGGTGCAACAATAATCTGTGGTTGTGTTGGTGGTAATGATTCATCAAATTTGTTACTACTACTAGAACCATGACTCATTGAACCATTGGTTAAAGGTGAAAAGTGAGGGTGAAATTGCGCTTCAGATTTGAGTGTCAGGTTATATGTCTCATCAAGTCTCCATACAGTATGAAACACCAATTTATCTTGCATCAATGTCTTCAGACCATTCTTATAACGAGAAACTTGTTGGATTCGGACTCGCTCAAGTTGTTTCTGCTTGACAACGTAAGGAATTTAACAGTATATTCATAAATAGAACGCGTAACTTGGCAACAATTCTGGAACTAAGCAAATAAGATTTGCTCATAATCTACGGGCAAGAATCTCGATCGCACCCCCCCCATGCAACGCGAAGTACGAATTGCCAGTTCTCTCTCTCTCTCCCCCCTCTTTCTCTCTCCATGCAACGTCGAGTACAAATTGCCAGTTTGTGTTGTTGAGTTCAATTAAGTTAGAGTTGACCCCACCATGCAGCTCCACCTCGTGACTTGTAGGCCATCAAAGAAACTTGCTTCCTTTTTGAGATGGACTGAAACTCAAAAAACTTCTCGATCTAGTGAAGCCAATCAAGAAAGTCTTCAATGTTGAGATTACCCAAAAGTAAGGAAGATTCTTAACCCTGGTGCGGTAAACAGAAACATGTCTCCCTTTATCAAGAGCAACATCTTCCTCAAGCACTCCAAAATCTTGTTGGAGTTATAACTTAAAAACTTGGGTTTGTAGAGGAAAAGAGGAAAAGTTTAGTCCCACATAGGAAATGGAATAGGAAGGAAGAGTCTTTATAAGCCTTCCCTTTCTCTCATATGCCTAGAAGAAAACAAAAGGTTATGCTCCACACCACACACGCGCGCGCCGGCCGGGCCGGGCTCGGGTTCGGGTCGGGTCGGGTGGCGCGCGCACACGACCTGCGGACACGAATGCAGCTCCGGATTAATGGGCCCTTAATATGCTAACATTTTTATTTTTATTTTTATTTTTACTAATTGGAACTGTTTAAAACGTGATTAACATTTTTAAAATGTTTAACGGCCAGAATTAATTGGAGAGATTTATGAACTTTAAAACTGAATTAAAACGTAAATGAAACGGTAATATTCATGAGAATTAAAACAGAATCAAAACGGAAAAAAGGTTTTTATGAGGATTTAATTCGGTATTGAAAAACGTTCATTCTCAACCTCTATATAAACAGCAAGCTGCGAGGGTAGAAAACACAGTGTGAAAAACACATCGTATTCTCTCTTCTTCTCTGTCATTCCTCTTCATATTACTGTTATATTTTTGTTGGTTCCCTGAAAGTCACGAAGAATTCACAAAGCCTTCTTGAAGCTCGTGCCGACGAGAAGGAGGTCGCCTGACCGAGGGTCGTTGTATCTCCGGGGACTTTTGCCGCGTAGCCCTGTACGAGAGGGGGCAATTAGTTTCTTGGGACAGTGCTTGCACGCCTCGACCATCAGGCTATATTCTAAACTCAGTTTAATTTTATATCTATTTTCAATCATTATCTAATTCTGTTAAAACTGCATTTTGTGCTAATTACACTC